TCTTTAAGAATGCAGTGAAAAAGAAATGATAAATTCAAATTTTAATATAATTAATATTGTTATGATAAATAGTACATAAATTCAGTGAAATGGATTTTTGGCTCTTTTATTATTTATATTATATCACTTTTATTACTTCCAGCAACCTTTACTGTCTCATTTCTTTCAAAGAGACTAGAATATGTCCTGCTTACATATTTTCTAGCTCAAAAGCTAATAACCTCACAGCTAAAAATAAATGTTACATACTTATATACTTTAATGATTCACAAATGAGGCCTTAACTGCCTTTCAGGAATATTTATATTTTATCTTCATAATAAATTTTACTTCAACCATTTGCATTATGAATGTGTTCATTTTTACATTTGGAAAAATACTTAAATAGCCAAATCAGACCATTAATGTTTATTTTCCTTTAATAAACTTTTAATCTTTATTTTTATTCTTCCATATACTTGCCTTTAATTATGAAATTAATATGAATACATATGCTCATGCTTATTTTAAAAAATATTTGATCAAATCATAACATTTCATCTGATTTATTTTCAATATGGAGTTAATAATTGACATCTATACAATCAAAATTTATATTTACACATATAAATTCAATTTACACATAAAAATTCAATTTTTTGGTAGAAATTTTAATTCTATACATAGTCTATCCTCTTTGGCAAGACAATCAGGTAATTTTTAATGCTCACTCATCTAGTCCTATAGTAACTTGGCTGTAATATTTGCATTTCAAAGACATAATGCATTTTTAAAAATGTATTTATTTATTTGTTTGAATGAGAGAGAGAAAGAGAGAGAGAGAGATGTGAGAAGATAGGAGAGAGGAAGGGACATCTTACGTTGACTGGTTCACTCCCCAAATAGCTAAAACAGGCCAGGGCTGCACGAGGCCAAAGCTCAGAACCAAGAACTCCCTCCCAGTCAACTTGGGTGGCAAGGCCCAAATACTTCAGTCATTATCTGCTGTTTTCCTAGGTGCATTAGCAGGGACCTGGAATTGAAGTGGGGTAGTTGATGCTCAAACCAGCATTCTGATATGGGATCTGGTGTTGCAGCAGTGACTTAACATGCTGCACCACTACAGCACCCCCAAATACAGCATGTTTTAATAACACCTAAAGAAAAACATTTAATACTAAGGGAATTACCCTACCTCAGTGGCATTTTGTATTAGAACAAACTTCTTTGTTCATCCTCCTTTTAAATCATATGAGAAAAATCAAGATTTAACAAACCCAAGGTAAATGTGACTCAGGAGCTTAGTTTAGGAGTTAAAGTTGATTGTTATCGGAGTATAATAATCACTGAAATAGAGCAGGCATTTTGCTTAGTGGTTTGAGATGTCCTCATCTCATATCAGCGTACCTGAATTTGATTCCTGACTCTGGATTCTACTTCCTCCTAATGCAGACAGTGATATTTGATGGTGATGACTCAAGTAGTTGGATTCTTTCTGCTTGTCTGGTGGATCTGGATTGAGTGCCCAACTTCCTGCTCTGTTTTCTGGCCCTGCCGCAGCCACTGTAGGCATTTGGGGAATAAGTTAGCTGATGGGAGTTAGTCTCTGTCTCTCTCTCACACATTTTCTCTCTCCTTCCTCCTGTCTCTCTCTTTCTCTACCTCTCAAATATTAAGTAAGTATAATGTTTTTAAAAACAGAGCTGTGATGCCCGTAATACTTGTGATACCTGCATCCCATATCAGGGTGCCAGTTCAGATGCTAGCTGCACTTCTGGTCCAGCTCTGTGCTAATGTGCCTGGGAAAGCAACAAATGATGGCTCAAGTACTGAGTCCCTGTCACCCTGTTGGTAGGCTTGGATGGAGTTCCTGGATCCTGGCTTCAACCAGGACCAGCACCAGCTGTTGTGGCTGTTTTGGACATAATCAGTGGATGGAAGATTTCTTTCTTCCTGTGCCCCTCTCTCTGACTCTCTCACTGTTAAAATACATCTTTACAAAAATACTGGGAGATAAAATATTAAATGTAAAAATCATGTATTTCAAGAAGTATGGTTGGTAGAGTGTGGTTTCTAAAAATTTTTGCATTTGACTGCATCATCAGCTATCCAATGTAGATATGCAGTTTTGACAGTGACAATAAAATCTCCAAAGCAGTTAAAACCCAAGCACTATTTTTGCAACTCTAAAATTATAGACCTAGTGTCAATTGTTATTCAGTGTAGAACATTGAGTGAAAATACTAATATTATCAGAATTATGATAATTGCTAAAATAGGATTTTAATTCATGTAGTACTTTAGATTCTGAATTCAAGACTACATAGTTGTTTTTGGAATGTGATTTTAGAATTGTAGTTTCACAAAGAAGTAAAATCTCAAATCCAATTGACTAGTTTCCTGATATCCTATTGTAGGATATTTTGAAATTTATACATCCAAATCCAAATATTCAAAAGTTATTTGATTGTTGGTGGTGAAATTGGAGAGTGGCTTTTATTTATTTATTTTTCAGTTTTCACAGCTTCTGCCTTTCAGAGTGTGCATTGGCTAGAAGCTGAATTCAAAGTGCAGGCAGAACTTGAACCCATGCACTCCAGTTTGGTATGTGGGCATTCCACACAGTAACTTCACCATCTGTGCCACAACATCTCCTCCATTTTGTTTTTTATTTTCTCTTACTGCAAATGTTACAGAATTAATACATACAATTTTTAGTAAATATTTTTACAGTAGCACATCTTGGGAATTTAACTTAATCAATTTTCAAAGAGCGCAAGTTGATGTATCCAGCACTCTCTCAGTAAATGGACCTATCCAGATATCCACATCTGCAGTTACCACTTCTTCACTCTGCATGTGTCCCATGCAAGAGCCACTGTGGTTTGGTCTACTCTCAACACAGAATTTGAAAATGATATCATACTATAAGTATGCTATTCTGCATTTTTCTTATGCTTGTATTTGAAGAACATACACACATATTTATCTTGGATATATAGCTGCAGCAGAATTGCAAAGTCATAGGTTATATATGTTTTTCAGATTTAGTGGATGTGGACAAGAAATTTCCAAAGTATATTTCCATTTCACAATTCAGTATCTGTCCATGAGAGTATTTATGCTTGTGTTTATTATTATGTTTATTAGTACTTATGTTTATGAATGTATAGATATTTTAATTGAAAATTATTTTAGGTGATTGTAAAAATGGTATAATAGTTGACTTATATACTGTATTAAATATATATATATATAACTGAATTACTCTTAAGGGTATTGCTAATATTATTCTTACAAAATAATGTGTGCTTGAATATTATACTTCTGCACTGATCAACAGAAAATAATCTACTAAAATTTTGACTACCGCTATCTTCTTTACTTGTCAACTTACCACAAATTTTATCTTAAGATTTGTTGGCTTAGAGCTATATCATACTAGCTGATAAGTTTCTTAAGGATCAAGCATGAGGAGAAGCTGCCTAGTCTATCCTTTGCATCACTTCTTTCTGATTTGATACGGTGTGTGGAGCACTGATCATCATCCAGTGACCATGAGACATTTAGCCCAAGAGTGAATAACCTACACTGCCTGAATCATGATTCGGAGTGTAAGACCTAGAAAGCAAAATTAAGCCATTATTTAAATAAAACCCTAGGACTGTTATACCCTTTCGTCTTGTTAAGTAATAAATAAAAGTCCTTATGTATACAGCTAATTTTAGTGAAATCAAATGCTGTTTGTTAGTTTCTGATGAAAATAATCCTAACTGGTATATTTTGATAGCTGTATAAAGGGTATCATATTGCTCAACATCTTCCAGGTTAAGAAATACTATATTGCTCTGATTGCCATCAATCAAATGAAAATTTTCTTTACATAACTGTCGCTCCCCCATTCACAGAGGAACGACACTATACCCTGCGCTGTTCTTTTGTCTGCTTGGCCCTTCCCGGGTTTGCTGCTGTCCCTTCCCAGGTTGGCTGCCGATCCCTCCACCTCCGTGGAGGGGCGGCTCCCCCTGCCACTTTCCCCACTTCCGCGGGGGAGTGGCACACCGCCGGCTGGCTCTCTCGGGGGCTGCTCAGATGTTATCTGGATGTTCCTGGTGCATGTTGTCTCTCTTCTCCTTTATAGTCCTCTTCCACCAATCCCAACTCTGCTACCCACACGCCGAGCACGCTGCTCTCCTCCAATCAGGAGCAAGATCAGCTCCTGCAGCTCATCAGTCAAATTGGCGAGAGGCAGCTGTGTAGAAGTTGTTTACTCCTCTCCCAGCGCCATATTGTGGGAGAGCAGATGCATAGAATAAGTCTTAATTCCAGTAACTTAGTCTAGTCCGAGTTGCTCCCCACACATAACTTTTCCTTGTATGGAGAGAAATATTTATCCCAATTAGTCAAAGTCAAGACTGGGGAGCTGTTTGCTCCTCATGGGGATTTTACATTTGCCCCATGGAGACCTATGCTGATCAGGTGTTGTGTAACACATACCCCTATATGACATTTACTCCCTGCCATGATCTTCAAGAAACCCAACCAAAACCTGCACTCGTTCCATAAATGATGGCCTACTTTCTTGTCTCTACTATCATTCATATAGGCAGATCCCACATGTCTGACTGCAGGCCATATCTCACACATGAATTTTCAGGTCCATTCATAGGCTTTTCCAGATAAGTTCCCCAGGCGAGACTGTTCTGCCCCCAGCAGGCAATATACCACCACTGAACTTCAGACCCTGAAATGAGTCACAGGTAAGGACGTGAAGACCCCTAGCTGATAATGTCCTCACATGTATCTGAATTCCTAACCTATTTAGCTGCCTCTCAGATAAATTTACCGAGAGCACTCTATTGGGTGTCCCTGAAGACGTCATTCTCCACTCTGTTCCAAGAAGTTGCACTCTGTATCTAGAAGTCCCTAGCTGCATAAAACAACAGGAGCCTTTGTTTAGAGCTCCCTTGGCAGAGAAAAAAACCCATGTCTGTAGGGTTCCATATGACCACCACCTGATGTCATTCCAAGGCTGAAAATGAATCATTAGGATTATGCAATCTGAACAGAAAGCAGAGTATGAAATGAATCATTGAGGAATAAGTGCTTTCTCATTTTTATCCTCTTACTGATAGTATCACAAAAAGTTATAAAAGGCTTGAGCTTTGTGTTCTTTCATCTGCTGGCTCATTTCCCAAATCAGTGCATTGGTTGCTCCCTGCCACTGTTCTCATGAGCAAAATATTTAGATATTGGGTTTTTCACAGTATTCTCCTCCTTAATTTTTTCCTAGAAAGATTAATTCACCACCTCATGGCTGAAATCCTCTGTTACATAGCATGAGAAAATAAAAATGAGAATTTGACAGAGAAATGAACAACATATTCCCATACAGAATCAAAAGAGTGGATTCTGTGTTGCTAATGTGTTGTCATGATTTATTCTTCTAGAAATTATCTTTTCGTATATTCTGAATTTACCAATGTATATTATTATCTCTGTCTCATTAAGATTGAGCAGAAAAGAGGGAGTCAGGGAGTGAAAAAGAGAGAAATAAAAGAAAGAAGGAGGAAGGGAAGGAAGAGGATGGAGGAGAAGGAAAGGAAAAGACAGAGAAAGGGGGTCTGTGCTCAATATCCTTTCCACATGTTTCCTCGTCTCTGTTAGGAAGCTCTAGATTCTTTTATGAAATTAAAACATTTACTTCCAATGGAGAGAATGAGAATGCAATAAGAAAACTGCATGTCCTATGGAGAAACGTAATTGCTTGCTGCAGGTCTAAAGCAAGAAAGGTAGAAGAGGATTACAATACAACAAATATTATAGTTACATATGTTCCTCTCTAATACTCTAAGAGTTCTATAAATCATCCTGATTCTATATATTTCCCGCGTTTGAAATGGACACTAAAAATAGACCCTTAAAACTTTCTTTCTTAAGCAGCTTTTAGTATGTAAAGGAAGATAACCTTTTTTGGTTTGCTCCTCCAATAAACTTAAATACGTTTTGATGTCTTAAAAATAGCTTCTAGATGCATGAGAATTATGTTATTATGACCTGAACAATAGCATAATTCAAAAAAAAGAAACTGTATCTGTTGTTCTACCTGATGCCTTTATAAATATGTAAATGAAGTAGTGTCAGATAACTCAATTATACTAGACAAATCAAAATTCCAATGTCAGCTTCTCAAACTTTGACAGTTCCAAGTTGTGATTTTTGACTTACGTCTTATAATTCTAGGTGATCTATAAAAAGCTTCCTATTTAAAAAGTACCCTTAAATTTTATTCCCAAAAACTTTGGTTTCTAACAAAATAAACTAAAACTATATATATATATATATATATATACTTTTTTTTTTTGATGGATGGAAGCCTTTGACTGGCTTTATGACTTTCTGAAGGCTTATTGAGGAACATTCCTGATAAGATGTGACTGTTTGCCACTTAGAAGAAATGTATGGAATTAGTGATAGAACAGCAAGACACATTGTACTACTACTACATTATTCAATAATATTTGGATACAACTGGCACAGACTAAAACTTATTAATCCATAAGGGAGAACTTACTGGTCCTCATCCTGTGAAAGCTAAATAGCTCTTCTGATCTCAGCTGAAGATAGATCACAGGATCAAAACACTTCAGTTTTACAGTTACAAACTTCATACACTTCATAATTATAACTTTAAGAACATGATTATTCTTTGTATCATGCCTACCCTCCCAAAATACTCCCAACTCCTCTTCCTACTCCCTCTTTTTTCCCCCACTCATATTTTAGTGAGCTCTTTTTTCAATTGACTTTATACATATGTTTAACTCTCTGCATACATTCCTACAGACTTACTTCTAGGGGTACAGTTTAAAAATTTGTCATGGGACCCCAAGTCCCCTTAAACTGGGTGGTAAAAATATCACCTTAAATGTTACAGTGATCATATAGATAGGATGAAGGGTCTGGTAATATTAATAGATAGAATTAAAAAGATGAGAATGCTCCAATATGGGAATCAGTCCACACAGCAGACTCAGAATTCTGACAAGCACTTTAAATAGCACTCTGACCTCAGAATCAGCCATTAAGGAATTCTGGTCTGGCTTAAAAGCCCTCAAGAGCACTTCAAGCATGGAAAGCCAGGACGCCCTGGCAAAGATGTCCTACATGAAGGACCTTGGTGGCTTAGACACCAGTGAAAATAAGTGGTCATCAAAAGAAGGAGTTACTTTTCTCTCCCTTGAGAGAACTTCTACTTTGCTTATGACCTTGTCTAAATACTGATGGATTTTTTGGGTTCAAAAGGCTTCCATAGCCTAGGCAGCTCTTGTCAAGAGTCTCAGGTGATCACTGATGTCAAGTATCAGAGTGTTAATTGTTAAATTAACAAGAGTCACTGTGTACTAACCTCCCATACAGGACATCTGTCCTCAAAGAGTTGTTTTATAACTATGGCTAAGTGCTCCCAAAAGATGTACAATGTATCATTCTTGGGTGCTTCTTTAAAGTTAATTAAGTTTTAAAAAAATGGAAGTGAAATTAACTTCAAGATACAATGACTTTGAACAGTCCTTGTCTTGAATGTTGAGGAACAGTGGTGGTTTTTTTGTTTTGTTTTTATTTTTTTGGTTTTTTTTCCATGCAAATATTTAAATTCTTTACTTAGTATAGAGTTGTTCTTCTGTGTATAAAGTTAATTTAAAATGTATCCTAGTGAGGAATGGGACTGGGAATGGGAGAGAGAGGAGGAGAAGGAGTGGGAGTACGGGTGGGAGGGCAGGTATGTGAGAAGAATCACTATATTCCCAAAGTTGTGCTTATGAAATGCATGAAGTTTATATTCCTTTTAAAAAAAGGTTTATTTTGGGAGAAAAATGAATAAATGATTAAATAAATACATAAAACTAGTCTAATAAAAATAAAATCTTCATAGTAATCTGCAGTTATCAATCTATTTTGTTTCTGATTTCTCTTCAATACAGCCCCTCTTCAACATAAATATGGCCCAAAGAAGCTGTAGTTTAACAAAGCATTTGGTTTTCATGTCCTCACATACAGAGAGCCTTCTGCCACTCTGACTAAAAAAAAAATAGTATCGCCAGCACCGTGGCTTACTAGGCTAATCCTCCGCATTGCGGCGCCAGCATACCGGGTTCTAGTCCCGGTCGGGGCGCCGGATTCTGTCCCGGTTGCCCCTCTTCCAGGCCAGCTCTCTGCTGTGGCCAGGGAGTGCAGTGGAGGATGGCCCAAGTGCTTGGGCCCTGCACCCCATGGGAGACAAGGAGAAGCACCTGGCTCCTGGGTTCGGATCAGCGTGGTGCGCCGGCCGTAGTGCGTCGGCTGTGGCGGCCATTGGAGGGTGAACCAACGGCAAAAGGAAGACCTTTCTCTCTGTCTCTCTCTCTCACTGTCCACTCTGCCTATCAAAAAATAAATAAATAAATACAAATAAAAAAATAGTATCAAATGAAATAAATCAATCACAATTCTGGCTAGCTCAACTTGAACTGTGGTCAGTCTTAATCCAGTTATATATCTAAGTATAAACAATATTCTAATTAAAAAGTTTACCTAAATGTGTTGCAATTATGATTGTTACTCATAAACTTAGTTGGAACAAAATCATGATTCCCTTTCCTGATGCATTCTGTAGGTCAGGAATTCAAATGGAGTACAGTAAGGGATCTTATTTACTTCACTAGGTACCTGCTAAAACAGAATAGTGTCTACGGGCTGCAGACACCTGAAATCTCACTCACTCATTCGGAAGTCTCACTCGTATGTCTGCAAATGCAGTTGATGAGTATAGGGATAGAATATTCCTCTGTTGCTTGCTCTATGATTGAATTAGTATGGAATTTTAGCATAACCAGATTTCTACATCAGGTCATAGCTCTAGAGATTCAGTGAGCTGAAAGTTGTATTGTCTCTTTCTAAGTTGTATTTGGAAGTCACACAATAACACTTTCGACACATTCTATTTGTTATAAGTGAGTAAATAGTACACATCCCAAGGACTCTTGTTGTATGAGAGGGGACTTAAAAAAGTGAAGATGTTTAAAGAAAATCTGTGTGCCTAGCTTGGAGACAAGTTGATGACATACATTTAAAGAAATTTAGAACAGGTAGGAGAAGCATAGGCAACAAAAAAAGGTGGGTAGGAAGTGTTCTTGTTCCCAAAATATAAAAAAATAATATGTAGATAGTAATTATGATCAAGTTAAGCCTCAGAAATCAAAAATACTGTCTACGACACCTTATTGATTATAGTTTACTTTTATAGTTATAGCAAAGATTTTAATTATTTATATTATATCTGAATTATCACTAAGGCTTGTACATTTTTACACATTTTATCATGCTTGCCATTTATGAATATTAATCTTGTTTTTCTCTCAAATATTTCAAATATGTCTAACCAAATATCTATAGAAGACATTTTTAAAGGAAAGTAAGCAAGTTTATATTTATGAGCCATATTTAATTGGGATCGCTTTTTATCTTAGTAGATAATATAACTTCATAGAAAACTATCTGGTCAAAAGATTTATTTTAACATTAATTTTTGTTGCTGCAGTGACATTTTTCTTCTATAATTTCTCAACAAAAAATGTCATTAATTTGTTTATTTGTTTATTTGTTATTGTTAGTGAGAAGTTATTTGTTTTTATTTTGTGTTTTGTACATTTTATAAAATGAAGTTTTTCTCCCATCCCCATTTGTTTGCATGCATTTGTCTTAAGAATGATATTAGATATTCCATCACCAACTCTTTGATTTTTACATGTAATTAATTAATTGACTCAGAAAATAACCCATGCTGTGACTGTGTTTACTGCTTCTGGTCTATGTGTTCTGTTCAATAAGTTAACGTCATTAATCTATATTTTAAATATCCAGTTTTTAGCTACCATAGATAAACTTGAATTTTTCCTGGCTAATTTTAATCTTTGCCCTATGCATTCTGGGAAAGCTTTTCAAATTGTTCTCCATATCATTTAATCTATAACTTAGTCTTCTGAGAAGTCAATATAATTTCCTAAACATTTTTAGATTTTTAT